AGATGAGTGGATAGATATGGTATAGTCACAAAAAGGAATGCTATAACATGGTTAAAATGAATGCATAGCACCACATATTTGCATAAATTTAAAAGGGTTGTTGAATAGACACTTCTCCCCAAAAGATAAACAAATGGCCAATAAGAACATGAAAAGATTCTCAACATCACTAATTATCAGGGAAATGCAAAACAGCCCCACAATGCAGTACCATGTCACACCTAATACAACGTCTGTGATCAAGAAGTAGAAAATAAGTGTCGGTAAGAATGTGGAGAATTTGGAACCCTTGTGCAATGCTGGTTGGAATTTATGTACAGCTGCTTGGAGGAGTATTGAGGCTCCTCAAAATGTTAAACATACAATTATTGTATGATCCAGGAATGTCACTTCAGTTCTACCCCCAAAATAATTGAGAGCAGGGACAGGAACAGATACTATACACCCATTTCTGTAACAGCTTATTTACAGTAGCCAAAATTGGAAGCAACCCAAGGGTCCATTGATGGATGAATGGATAAACAAAATGTGGTATATATGCACAATGGAATATTATTCAGGCTCAAAAAGGGAGGAAATTCTGACACATGCCACAGCATGGATGAACTGTGAAGACGTTATGCTACATCCGCAATTTTTCAACCTTTTTTATCTCATGACACACATAAGCTAACCACTAAAATTCCACAACACACCAAAATAATACATTTTTTGCCAATCTGAGAAAAATAGGTGTAACGTTGATTCATTCACACCAAGTAGCTATTGCTATGTTGGCTCTTGTCATTTTTTATATGACAGTCTAAGGGAAAAGGGGTCAGTGCTCCTCACTCAATAGTCAGGTATTGCATGTTTTAAAAATTCTTGCGGCACGCTGGTTGAGAAAACCTCTGTGCTTAGTGAACTAATCCAGTCACCAAAGGAGAAAAACCAGATGATTCCACTTATATGAGGAACCTAGACAACCTGAAGCAGAGTGGTCGTCGCTGGGGCCTGGGGAGAGAGGGAGATGGGGAATTACTGTTTAGAGGATGCAGAGTTTCAGCTTATCAAGGTGAAGAAATCTCTGGAGGTGCATGATGGTGATACTTGCGTGACACTGAGAATGTTCTTCATGCCACTGAACTACACACTTAAAAATGATGGCAATGGTAAAAAAAAAAAAAACAACCAAAAAACAAACAAAAAAAACCTCTCCAAAAGTAAAACTCAATGAGTTGAATAAACCAAGCAAGTTGTAAAAGGATGTCATGTTTTGTCTGATATAATTTATATTAATATAAAGTTTTACCACCTGAACAAAATACTATACATGTATCATAAGTATAAAAACCTTGTTGCATCCAAAGAGGGAAGACGTTAAGGACTGTGAATTATGGAGAGAGTACACAAGAAAACTCAATTTTATCTGTAACATTTTTTTCTTAAAAATACTATAGTTTTTTAATGATAAAATAATAGTTTTGACAAATCTGGGTAGGGGTACACATGTCTGTGGTGTTTGTAATATCAATCTTTAGACTATTTTTTGTGCTGAAATTTTCTTTTTCCTAAAGGAGAATAACTTGTATGTTTAGAAGAAATCTTCAGAAAGTCAAATTTGTAGTTAATGCTCATCGTTTTCCTCTCAGTTCTTTTTCTTAACTCCACGGATAGTTTTTTCGCAGTATTTTTTATGCCTTTCATCTTGAAAAATCTACCTTCCTTTCCTCCTTCTGCCTGGTTTGTATTGGATGTTGGGCCAAATTACTTACCCTTTACTCCAAGGCAGGCTCAGACTGTTAGATCATTTTCTTTTTTGGACTATGGATGTCTCAAAATGACTTTGAAGATTCTTTGCAGATTTTTATGATAAACTCATTCCTGGAAGTCCTGCTTTCTGGAAGCCCTACTGATTCATCTCTTTTCTGTTTTATTTTTCTGAAGCATATTCAGGTTTCTGATTCTGTTGTTGGAATCCTATAACCAACACACACTTTACAAATCACTAGTCATGTGGGCCGTGTGTGTGTGCGTGCGTGCGTGCGTGCGTGCGTGTGTGTGTGTGTTGGGGTTGGGCGGAATGATCGAAACCTATCCTTCTGAGGTAGTTAACGCACTGTCATCGCCGGTCAAAGCCTGTGCCCTTTTCAGGTCACACCTTCTCTCCAAATGTGAATAATCTTTCAAAGTTCTTTTTGTTCTTTTTTATTGTATTTATTGGGGTGACACTGGTTAACAACATTGTATAGGTTTCAGGTACACAATTCTAGAACACGTCATCTGTACACCGTATAGTGTGTTCACCACCCAAAGTCAAGCCTCCGTCCCCCTCTCCACCCACTCTGTCCCCACTTCTCCTGGCAGTCACCACACTGTTGTTCATGTCCATGAGTTTTTTTCTCTTGTTTGTCTTTTGCTCAGTCCCTCCATCCCCCAGCTCCCCCTCCAGGTGCCAGTCTGCTCTCCATCTATGAGTCTGTTTCTATTTTACTTGTTAGTTCACTTTGTTTATTGGATTCCACATATGAGTGAAATAACATGGCACTTGTCTTTCTCTGACTGGCTTATTTCACTTAGCATAATGCTCTCCAGGTCCATCCATACTGTTACAAATGGTAAGGTTTCCTTCTTTTTAATGGCCAAGTGGTATCCTGTTGTATAAATATACCAGAGTTTTTTTTTATTCACTCATTAACTACTGGCCACTTGGGCAGTTCAATCAAATTAGTTTTATAATAGTGAATATTCATAAACATAATTTTCAGAAAAACAAATGTAATCAAATGCCTTAAGCAAGTTGCTTAACTTTTCCTAGGTCTAATTTTTCAATATTTCTAATGTAAGATAATACCTGCTCAATCAACCTCACCGGATTCTTATAAAAACCACTATAAGAGATGTTATATAGAGATGAAAGCACTCTGGAAGTTTTATAGTCCCACACACATTTCTTAAATGCATATTTTTTTAAATGAACTTTAGCATGTAATTGGCAGACTTAATGCTATGCATAGCCATCTATCATAGTATTTTCCAAAATGTGGTCTTTCAGAGCATTTGCTCTTGGACATGTAATAGGTATTATATGAAAAGTGTTTCTATGGATAAACCATTGTAAAACACTAGAAAATACTCACCTATCAATAGACATTTAAGTTGTTTCCATATCTTCATTATTGTAAGTAATACTGCAATAAGTATACGCATATGTGCCTTCTCAATTTAGTGTTTTTGTTTTCTTCAGATAAATACCCAGAAGTGGAACATCTGGATTATATGGAGTTCTATTTTAGTTTTTTTGAGGAGCTCCCATAATATTTTCTATAGTGGCTGCATAAATTTACATTCCCACCAATGGTGCATGAAGGTTTCCTTTTGTCCACATCCTTGCCAACACTTGTTATTTACCGTCTTTTGATAAAGGCTATTCTGACAGGTGTGGGGTGATAGCTTTTTGTGGTATTGATTTGCATTTCGGGTATGAATAGTGATGTTGAGCATCTTCTCATGCGTCTGTTGGCCATCTCTATGTTTTTATTAGAAAAATATCTGTTCGGATCTGCCCATTTTTAATTGGGTTTTTTTTTTGGATATTGAGTTATATGAGTTCTTTGTATCTTTTTGATATTAACTTATCAGATAGGTCATTTATAAATAAATATCTTCTTCCACTTAATAGGTTACTGTTTCATTTTGGTGATGATTTCCTTCACTGTGCAGAAATTTCTTAGTTTTATGTAGTCCCACTTGTTTATTTTTGCTTACGATGCTCTTGCCTAAGGAGGAGATCTGAAAAATATTGCTAAGACTGATGCCAAAGAGTTTTTTTCCCCCTGGGAGTTTTATGATTTCTGGTCTTATATTAATAATTTAATCCATTTTGAGTTTATTTTCATATATGCTGTAAAAAAAGTCATCCAATTTTATTCAAGTAGCTATCCTGTTTTCCCAACATCATTTATTGAAGAGATGGTCTTTTCCCCATTTTATATTCTTGGCTCCTTTGCTGTAGAGTAATTGAATGAAGAATGTGGGTTTATTTCTGAGCTCTCTGTTCTGTTCCATTGATCTGTGTGCCTTTATTTGTGCTAGTATGATGTTGTTTTGATTACTATAGCTTTGTAATATAGTTTGAAATCAGGGAGCATGATAACTCCAGCTTTGTTCTTTTGCAAGATTACTTTGGCTACTCAGAGTCTTTTGGGATTCTATACTAAATATTTGATTTTGGTAATTCTGTTTTTAGACATTCTTTCATTGAAATTTATATATTCCCTTTAATTTTGTATGCTTATATGTAAAGTTTGATTTAGTGACTTAACTTTCTATTAGGTTTGCCTGGAATTGACATTCATGTATTATTTCACTTCGTGAACATTGGTTTATTTGGTAAAGATATGTCATTGAAATTATTTTCCTGTTGTCCAAGATGTTTCTTAAGCTCTCCTCATTAATGCTAAGTGAAATAAGCCAGTCAGTGAAAGACAAATACTCTGTGATTTCACTCGTATGTGGAACCTAATGAACAAACTGAACTAACAAGCAAAACAGGGACAGACTCATAGATGGAGAACAAATGACAGCTAGTTGCAGGGGCAGGGAGAGGTTAGGAGGTGGAAGGATGGAGCTAAAAGGAAAAGGGACTCATGGACATGATAGCAGTGTGGTGACTGCTGGGGGGAGGGGTATATAAGGAGACTAATTAGTAATGGGAAAAATATAATAAAGATAAGAAAGACATTATTTTCCAATATAAAATACATCTACTTTCTTTTATTTCCTTTATTCTTATACACATAAATTTATTTGTGGGAATTTTAGTCAAAAGTCATTTCTATTTAAGAAAAAATGTGAGTTGAGTAAAAATACTAAATTGTAGGTCATGAAGAATTAATGAAAGTCTTCCTAACTTTATGTATTGTATCATTAATTTGACCGGTGATTGTTTTTTAGTATTTGTCTTAATTTGTTTTATTTTTAAATTTTTATTTTTTTGTTTTTTTCATCTTTTTTTCTAGCTTGCGATGAATGGAAAATATTACCGAAGCCAAATCTTCATAGAGATGTCAACAGATTTGGACACTCTGCAGTTGTCATTAATGGGTAAAAGAAATACATTTATCAGTTTTACTAGCTGCATATTCTGTTATTCTTCCAAAAATATCATTTTACTTAATGGCACTGGATTTTATGTATCCCTACTGTACCATGGAGTACCTTTTGGTTCATTAACCATATTCTTCATTTTTTTTTTGTTTAAATATATTTAAGGGGTAGGGGAGTCGTCAAAGGAAAGGTGCTGAGCTACAACTTCAGATACTTTAAAAAAATTATCCTGCCTTCTTTTTCCAGAGATCAGCTAATGAATGACTTCCTTTAAAAAGATGACACTGAAATGATAGAAAGGCCAGCCTCCGTTTCTATCCAAGAGAGCAAGGATAGTGGGGGGATTCATTTTAGTTGTCATTTTAAATGCATGACTTTTGGCAAGTCTTTTAACCACTCTGGGCTTGAATATCCTTAAATCCATTGGGAATTGGAGTGGATGATTATTAAGTTGCCTTCCTCTTATCTGTTAGTATGATTTTTCTATTTCTGCTGCAAAAATTTGGTAATATGGACTTGAGTGACAATAAAAATATGCTAACTCATTAATTAGCTTAAAATGACATGTTTATAAGTTCATTTTATTTCTATTTTACTTAAATTATGTAAAAATTCTCCAATATGATACTAAAAGCAGGTAGAAGTTAACTACAATGAAACTGTGTAATTGATATCAATTGGCTTTCAAAATAGTAATACATAACTTTTCGGCTTCTCTGTTGAAAAATTGTGTTTTGTTGATTTCTATTTTACTTCTCTTAAATAGTAAATGATATTATTGAAGCATTTCCTTACCTTTTCTATTTATTAATAATATTTTTAGAAATAATAGCACTATTGTGAGGACATGTCACATATCTTTGGCATTGGAAATAATAATTAATTCAGGGATTGAGATTTTCTTTCTAAACTGAAATTTTGAAAATCTTTTTGATTATTTTGTTCTTTTTTAAAAATTTTCTAAGAGGATAATAAAACACTATAAGATCCCATTTTCTAATTCCTAAATTTTATCTCTGTATTCAAAAATTATTATTTTTAGATAGCAGTTCTAAAGTGTACCTTATTATACATGTATAGCTAGTGTCTAATTCTAAAAAAATTATTTCCTTCCTGAATGAACAAATGTAAAATATATATTTAAATTTATTTTTAAAACTAGTACAGTAAACAGAGACTTTTGTTCATATTGTTTCTTTAAGATTCTTGTGTGTGTGTTTTTTTTAGGTCCATGTATATATTTGGAGGATTTTCTAGTGTGCTCCTCAATGACATCCTTGTATACAAGCCTCCAAGTTGCAAGGCTTTTAGAGATGAAGAACTTTGTAAAAATGCTGGTCCAGGGATAAAATGTATTTGGAATAAAAATTACTGTGAATCTTGGGAATCTGGGACTACGAATAATATTCTTAGAGCAAAGTGTCCTCCTAAGTCAGGTAAAAGCTGTCTTCTCTTTCCCTTCTCCAGTCTCGGTCCATAGCTTCTCTGCTTGGCTAGATGTAGAAATGCATTCTGATTGTAAGAGTTACTTTAGTAGCTTTCAGAAATTAAAAATTTATGATCCTCTAATTAGGAATCTAATGTTTGAACTAGACAACCATTAATAATTTAATCTTTATTAGCTATTTTTAGTTTTCTTTTTAAAATTCTGCATGTATAATTACATATCAATATTTTATATATAACATGATCATATATATGAATTACTTTCCTATGTAAGTAAAAAATGATTTCAAATAATTCTTTCCAAGAAATACTGTGCGCTTCAAAGAAATAAAATGAAGTAATTTATTATGCATTTGGTATTATTTTTTTATTCCTGAATTATTGCCAAGCCAGACCATGAAGTTAAAAACAATTTCTATAATTTTGATGATTAATGTTCTAGTTTAATCTTTCATACAAAATATTGAATGAATAAATCAAACTTATGAAAAATTACTAGTAAATGTTTATATATAAATGAATGACTAGGATAAAAATTGTTCAATTTTCTTTAACTGGGTGAGTTTGTACGCAGTGCTACAATTAACAAATGTATTTTCAAGTTTTGCTAATCTATAACTCAGATGTGTCTAAATATCTTTATGAAGAATGATGAACAGTATTTGTTGTAACGTTTTCTTTTAGGTATATAGTAATAGATTTTGTTCACTAAATTACCTGTGAGTCTTTTCTCCCTTCTCCATAACGTGTACATTTAAATGGCTATTGGCTTCTGGTAGAGTCCGTAATTAGATGAGGATAGGAGGTGTTTAAAACCTTGCAAACGCAATTAACCATAAAGTTGACTTCATAGTGAAGAATTTATTTTGATATCGATGGTCATATTTATGGCTTAAAAGTGTCTTAGTGATTTTTAAACAGATGTTGAAAATGCGTGAATCAAGAAGTGTGACATTTTCTTTTCCATCTGATGGGCCTCTCTCTCCCATTTGTATTGTAGCGGCTTCTGATGACAGGTGTCACAGATACGCAGACTGTGCCAGCTGCACTGCCAATACCAATGGCTGTCAGTGGTGTGATGACAAGAAATGCATGTCGGCCAGCAGTAACTGCAGCGTGGTTAGTACTTATGGGTGAATGGGGATGGAGTTAACGTTGTTGCTTTATAATCATTAGCCTACCATGTATAGTACTGTAGAAAATAGCACTTAGCACATCAAGACACTTAGAAAATATGCAGAAAAATCACTCTCTCAGTACGTTGTCAATTCAGCCTGTCATTTGTCGCTCAAATTTGTCAGCGTAGGCTACATTTTGAATCCAGTAACTTTTACTCCTTTTCATGGACAAGACTGGGAAACTTTTTACGAAACTGATGTAAAATAAAAAAAAAAACTTAGAACTGTAAATGCTATCTTCAGTGCTGATGAAAATAGGATTATATAGGTGAGTACTGAAATCATTTCCAGGGGATTCTTGTCAGACAGGCATCGGTGGTGGTACGGTCTAGCATCTTGTTGACATACCTTGCATGTAAGTCCAAGTATTGGCTGTTTTAGTTTCCCTTTTATTCAGTGTCTGTCTTGAGATCAGTGGTTCTCAGCCAGAGACTGTTTTGTACTCCAAGGGACATTTGGCGATGTGTGTAGACATTTTTGGTTGTCCTGAATGTGAGGTTGCTTCTGGCAGCTGGTAGGCAGAGAACAGGGATACTGCTAAACATCTCACACTGTATACACAGACCTCCCACAAAAGACAGTTATCTGGGCCAAAATCTCAATAGCAACGGGACTGAGAAACCCTACTTTAGGTAGACCCTTGAAAAAAATTATAAAACTAGTATTTATGGCAGGTGAAAATTGATTAAGAGGAGCAAATTTAACCTTGTAAGTGGGTAGTAAAAATATCACATGCTTTTTAGATGTCAACGAATTGAAATAAAATTTAAAAAGTTTTCAAAAGTATATTGAGTAGGATTAAAGTTTCCCCAGTTGGACTAAAGCTTAAATGACTAAATAATGTGCATACCAATTTTCAACTAATTACAAACTACATTTTTTTCTCTAAAGTTTTAATTATCCACAAAAGTGTCTATTCGTTTTCAAGATTGCAGGCAGAGATGAAAGGTAAAGAAAAGGGGGTTGGGAAACAGGTAAAAAACTTCTGTTGTGTCATCTGAAAATTTTCTGCACTAACCAGTCATATTTCAAAATATTAAGTTTTATAGGTCTATTCTACAGTAATATTCAAAACTCATAATGGAGGACAGTTTTTAGTTATTGACTAATTGAATCTTTTTGTTTCATACAGATGGTTTTGGTATACAGGCTGAGGTAAAAGTAGGTTTACAGTGTGAGTATGCAAAACACAGAGTTTATTCTTGTATTATTATTCATTAACTATTGTATTATTTTTCAGACAAACAACTGTAAGCCTACTTTTGCCCCACCCTGTGTACAGTCTAGTGATGTAACTTTAATGACAATACATACTTCAATTTTATTTGTTTTAATGTTAATATGATATGACAGTGAAAATTTGAATTTTTATACTTGTATTAATATTCATCTAATGAGTTATTTTAATGAGTCATGTGGAAATAGGCAGAAGGAAGTAGAATGAAATATAAGAATAAGGAACTAAAATGGAGAATGTTATTAGATAAAAATTGCAAGCAGTTACTTAAAGCTTTGTTGAATAACCCTGAGTTAATTTGTGTTTGGACATTTACCCTAAGTGAAAATATGCATACTTAAAAAGGTTGTGTGACATAAATTGCTATTGAGTATTCATTTTATAATGTGCTTTTTTTGCTCTTTATTTTATTTTTGTTAATGCTGTGTTGACGAGAAAAGCAGTGGGTGAGATAGTGTAAGTGAGCAGATGGTACTCACTTGTAATTTAGACTTTGATGTAATGTGTCTTTTAGACAGCTTTATCACAATGTCTGGTGATTAAGCTGAACCAAATGCTAATGGATACAGAAAGGTCTGTGAGATTTTAGTGTAAATGATGTCCATTGATATCCTATTTCATTATTTAATCATATTTACTGCAAGTTGCAAGTATTATGCTCTAATAGTTCAAATAGCCTGCTTACTTCTCCAAGATTTTCATTTTAAATTTACATCTATGTTAGAGTGAAGACCAGGAGAGCAATGGTTAGTCTTCATAGTCTGTTCACAATGTACATTTGCTTCATTAGGCCAAAAAATGCCAGCCATGTTTCAGAATAACTCTCAGCTTTCTTCCATAATTGATTAAATTGGCCCTGTGTATAAATGAAATATAGTTTTCATCTATTGTACTGGTTCAGTACCAGTAAATGACTATACTGTTTTTAATGAAGAGCAGTATAGTTATTTGGGTGGTGATTCTAATGATACCATTGTTATTCTAAGGTCTGGCCTTAGTGTCTCATTCTTTCTCTTCTGTGAAGATGTCATTTAGCCATTCTCTTGTCATTTTTATTAGTAGTTCTATTTGTCAGATGATTCAAGTAAATTTATTTCTCTTCTGTTAGCTGGCAAGTGTTTGGAACTATAATGATCAAATAGACTAATACTAAGATTCATGCTGTATGAAAACAAAAAAACCCTGAATCAGAATAAATGACAAGAAAGCATGTTTCTAGTGAAAATGTGATGGTTGAATAAGGGTCACAAAGTAACTTGAGATCTTAAAAATTGTATCTTCTGTTATATTTTTAGGGTGCATAAAGATAAACATGATTATCTATGTTCCTTTTATGTTGCCTTATGGTATGTGTACTTTGCTCTAAAGGAATTAACATCTTTGCATTGAAGGTGACCGCAATGTGTTTTATGTAGGAAAGTAGAGGAGTTTATAAATGAATATTTGGTGGGGATATTTAAAAATATCTAAGAGGATGAGGATTCCTTTAACTGTTTTTCTATGTGGTATAGTTATTACTAAATTTTAACTTTTAAAGTCACTGACTGAACAGAAATATTTAGCTTCCTTACATGAGAGAGCCTGAGGCAAGCATTTATATGTATATAGAGGAAAAAAGGTTGAAGTCGAGCCCAGGATGTAGCATTACTCCTTTATGACTTTTTTTTTTTCCCAGAAGAATCACAGGAAGAGTTAAGCCAGAAATTTTAGTTTTTGATTTTGACGAGGTAGGCCGTATCATAGATACTGATAATGTGTGAAATATCTGAACCTTGGTGTATGTAGGAACTACCACTAAAGTTCCTATGTTGCCTTTTTTTTAACTTTTAAACTTTTAGTGCTGGAATTAATTGAAATAAGGGTACATTCTATGGTTCTGGCTGGGTAGGTCAGGTGGTTAGGGCATCATCCTCCTGCTATGCAAATGTTGCGGCTTCGAGCCCTGGTCAGGGCACATCCACGAAGCAACCAAGAAATGCATAAATAAGTGGAACAACAAATCAATGTTTCTCTAAAAGTCAATCACGTAAAATTTTTTAAAAAGTAGCTTCCACAGGTTGTTTGCAGTGTAGATAAAGGCAATGTGACAAATACAGGAGAAACATCAATTAACCAAAACCAACATTGAATGTCTGTGGGAGTAAAATTAGTTTGAGTTATTGAGAAAATAATTCATTTTAAAAAACTTTATTGGATCCTGATAAAGCACCTCTTACATTTTTTACTACTTATCATTTCTACTTTGTTCCAGGGATTTGCATGATAATTTTATTATGACTGGAATTCTTTCATGTGATCATTAAGAGAAATGACTTTGTGCATTGGCTTTATTTGTTGAGTTGGAAGCCTGTTATCAAATTCAATAGAAAATGTTTTCATTAGATGGTTTCTGTTTCAAATTGTGTAATCTGCCCATACTTTCCAATATGTACACATTCCAGTTCCAAGAACTGTAGTTTAACTAAATAAATGAATAAAGAGAGATTCTGATTCAGTAGAATTGGATTTGGGGTTAGAAATTTGTATTTTAAACTTCACTAGGTAATTCATATACACTGAAGTTTAAGAGTCATTGCTGTACAAAGGTGAAAAATAACATTTTATCTTTTAACTTTCTAGTCTGTGAAAAACTACACCAAATGCCATGTGAGAAATGATCAGATTTGTAACAAACTTACCAGCTGTAAAAGCTGCTCACTGAACTTGAACTGCCAGTGGGATCAGAGACAACAAGAGTGCCAGGCTTTACCAGGTAACAATGTCAGTTTGGTCAATGAGCTTTATAGTCCACAGATGAGCGAGAGTATTGTAAAGAGCTTTGAAAAAGCAAGAACATTCCCTTCTCTAAATCTGGACCGAGAGCAAATAAAACAATAATATTGGAGCCATGGTAGCTTTGTTTTTACAGGAATATTTGTATGTTTGCTTCTAATTCTTTGAAGACATTTAAGGTTTCTTGGTTTTTTTATGCTAATGACTTGATAGAATCCTCTTCCAATTTTAACAATTTATGTCTTAACATAGATAATAATAAGCACTTCTACAGGGAGCCAAATTTTAACAGATGTTAACATTTTGACATATATGATTTGTTTTTTAAGTGCTGTTTTTTAGACTCTGGGAACTCTATTTTCCTGACTGCTTTATAAATTCTAAATTGTAACATTTATAGTAAATATTGTATGATTTAATGAGAATCTAAATTCTGCAAATGAGAACAAAGCTCATTTTAAAAGGCAATTTCAGTTTATTTTTTACAGTCAACACTCTTCTTAGTATATTTGAACCTCCCTTCTTTTTAAATAGAAAAGAGAAAATCAGTAGATTAAAAAGTTATATAAATAAGTAGCCAGTTTCGTCTTCCTGTGATACAGAGAAACTGAGATACATTGGCTAAGTGACTTGCTCAAAGTTGTATGGCTTGTAATGGAAGTGACTATTAAGTGGCTATTCTCTGTTTGATTTTATGCCTTTCTCTTTCACGTGCTTTTTGTTTGTCTTTTTATTTTTTCATAAAAAATTTCTAAACCTATGTAATTCTAAAATGTATTGGAAAATTCCATTATGGGAATGTCTTTCTTACGTGTTCATGTACTTAAGTAACACTTAGATTGCCTTTAAAAGTACTATTGAGATTTTGGAATGTTTATTCCAATTTTGAATTTTGTTTATGTGTTTGTTTTGTTTATTTTAAAAATAAAAGTTTTTATTTTTAAATTTTTATTTATTGATTTTTGGAGAGAGAGAATGGGGTGCAGGGAGGGGAGAGAGAGAGAGATTGATTTATTGTTCCACTTATGCATTCATTGGTTCATTAGTTGATGCTTTTTAGTTTCCTAACTGGGATCAAACCCGCAACCTTGATGTATTGGGGTGATGCTCTAACCAAATGAGCTACCCTGCCATAGCCAACCTTTAAAGCTTTTAAATAGTGATATACTGATGTGTGTTCACTTTGAGAATTTTATTAATTTGAGAAAATTAGTGAATAGTAATGCAGGAGGCAGGATGTGAGAAGCAGTAGTGAGATGACACTGAACTTGAAAGTAATATTAATTTCTAAGTGTTAAAATCAACCTATTGATCAGTAAAAAATACTTACAAAGTCTCTTTAAAAAGACATAGTACATCCTGGACCAAAATAGTATTTCACTGAAAGGAATGTGTGTATTTAAAGAAAGATTGCTTCAATAAGAAGGGGATTTGGTTACCAGTGGAAGTTTTGAAAAGTAATAGTCCAGATATATTTGGTAGATCCTACCTACTCATTGCCCAGGAAAAAACTTTGGTTTTGTAAAAGAGCTCCATTGGAACAGGCTACTATTTTGAAGATCAACAAATACAATAAATACAGTAAAATGTGCTGTTATACACTAACTTCCCTTGGTCTTGTGTTCATATTTACTAAGCAATCAAGTGGGTATCTGTAGTGTGGTTTCCTTTCAGTTTTTCCCAAGGAAATGAATGATCTGAATGGACGGCCCAGCCTATAGCAGCTGCACTTCATGAAAATTTGTGAATTGCATTTTTTAAGTTGGTTTCATGTAAACTTGGAAATCTGAATTTAACTCACTGAACTCATTTGGCAAATTCACTGCTATCTTTTGAACTCTAAAGCTGAGTTGATACTCAATACTACAAAAGCCTAAAACATTAAAACTTTTGGTTTAGTGGTATAATTTAGTTTAGCTTCAAAAGTCCATGCATTTGTTTTCATTTGTATAATTTGTAAATCAGGTATTTTTGGCCTCAAGGGAAGAAAGGAGGATTGGCAAAAAACCAAACCAAAGCAAAAAACAACTAAACCCTTCTTTGATTCAATGATGTAAGAAAAAGCCCTAGCATAACAGAACTTTTGTGCTGTTGCCTTAAAGTCATTTGGTACTTCCAATCTAGAAGACAGGAAGGTTGCTGTATGTGTAGCCTGAAAATGAAAACAAAGGTGTTTAAACAACCTTATTAGATGATAATTACACTTTATTGAGGGATTACATGTTATAGGCACTGTGTGCTATTCTTGGTACTCAATACAATAGCAGTTATTAAAGAAATGGAGTCTCCCGTTCATGGGCCCTTTTAGCGGGTCTATGAGGTCAAAACTAATAATACTAAGATATTATTTGCATTTTTAAATTCTCATTCTGTTATGGGATTGCTGTGTTTTCCAAAAGCTATGTAATATATGATTCCAATAGACTGAGCGTAGAAGCAGATATGAGAATACGGTTGCTTTATATTAATCCACCATTAAAGAGATTTGCACAAATGTAAAACAGTGCCACACTTTTCACTATTTATTTCAGATACTGTAATTAAAAAAACTAAATGTGCCATTTATTTTAATTTGTAGTATTTTTTTCCTGAACATTTTATATGAAGAATGGAAAGAATATTAGAGAGGACACCAAATAGCCACACCCTAGCTTCTACAATGCACATTTTGCTCTGCTTTATTCCTGATCTGTCTACCCATCCCTCTCTTCACTTATCAGTACATCATAATCTCTTTAGTTACCAGGGGCCTGATTGGAACTGTCAGCCACTCTTTCTCAGGGAGAGAATTTCCTAATACATCTCCTGAGGGCCTGAATTATGGCATGAAAGGGCAAGGCATCCTAGAAGCTGAGAGAGTGCATTTGTGATGAATTTTATGCATTTATTCATCCTTTTGTTTTCCTATAAATTTTTTTCAGTTACAGCTCACAGTCAATATGACCCTGTGTTAGTGGCAGAGGTACAGCGTAGTGGGGGGACAATCATGTCCTTTGCAGAGTGGCACCGCGGGTGTTTCCGGTACCCACCTGGCCCCATACGTGGTTATTACAGTATTATTGGCTATATTCCTGTGCCGTGACTTACATCCCTGTGACTGTGCTGTGACTGCCATTTTGTACTTCTTAACCCCTTCACTTTTTCATCCAGTTCCCCAAACCCACTCCCCTCTGTCAACTGTCAGTCTGAATTTTAAATTATGATTTTAAATAAACAAATGTGTCTTTAAATGATAAGCTTTAATTTTTACATGGTCAAAAAGACAGATATAAAACGAGTAAGGAAAAGATCAGTGCAGTTGTCAAGAGTTACAGGGGTCTTGGACCGAAGTGTTTGAGAACAGCTGCTATACAAGGACTGCATAGAGATTGTGCTAATGCACCCAAGGCTGCAGGGGCTGGAGGCGCAGAGGTGTTTCCTGTGACGTGGGAACTAAAAGGCAGCCAAACTTTATAAAGCCGTGCGTTAATGAAACATTGCATTGTTAATTCAGGCACACTAGTGCGTATCCTTATAATACATTTATAAATCTGTGTTTTAGAAATAGGTCCTGTTTTAAGTTCTGTCTGAACTTTAGGGATAAACCATTATTACTGAAGAGCGTGTTTAAACTTTAGAAAGACCTGAATAGCAGTGTAAAAATAAATATTAAAAAGCAAAGATTATGGCTTATCTAACTATAATGAAATGAGAATTCTCTCCCCACAATTATAATTAAAGAATCAAAGAACTGAACGTATCAAAATATTAATAGCATTCCCCAGGCTGTGGAAATTAAATTTGGAAGACAATGAGCTACACTTGTAGAAATAACTTTGAAATTGCTTTTGTTACATGCTGGTTATTTTTCTTTTGGAGTGATCTCGTATTATGTAAGGTGGACTTTGGGATATATAGAGAGTAATCATTTTACTTGTTGAGATACCACATGCCAATACACCAGATTTACAGAGGAAACCTACCAAACAGCTAACCCATTTTAATAGCTATTATAGAGCCAGAGCTTATCTTATATTTCAAAATTAAGGAAAAACTTAAGATATTGTTGTCTTTGTCTACTAGACTTCTAGGTAAATTTTTTTTAGTATATTATATTGATATATTTAAATATTTTATGGGTAAAATTATTTAAACAAATACAGAGTGTATTTAGAATTCTGAAATAAGGGAAAATACACATGCTTTTTGGGAACCTAAAAATAAGATGTAACTGTTTTTCTTAGCTCATCTTTGTGGAGAAGGATGGAATCACATCGGGGATGCTTGTCTCAAAATCAATGCCAGTAGAGAAAGCTATGACAATGCCAAACTCTACTGCTACAATCTTAGTGGAAATCTCGCTTCATTAACGACCTCAAAGGAAGTAGAATTTGTTCTGGATGAAATACAAAAGTATACGCACCAGGTAACAACTGTACTTATATGTATATATTGGAAATATGCTGATAATCCTGTAATTATTTTTAGCATCGCTAAAAAAGAAATTATAGGGCAATGATTCATTCTTTTTTGTATTTTAATACATTATTATTACTAAATCTTGGACATAAAAAGGGAACTGATTTCAAAAGTGAACTGGTAGAGGATTCATTCTCTATGAGTATTTAGTAATAAGGGTTCTAAAGTACTCATCTCGTATTTTGCACAGTAAACCAATGCATTATGTTACAAAGAACCCATCTCACATAACTAAATAGACTTAAAAACATGGCATATAATTTCATAATCATTTTGAAGTATTATTTTGTACTTGAAAAATTCCTCTTAATAAACACACTAGACCAACACATTGACTACAGTTGTATATACATAGATTTTGTGCAGGTGAGTGTGTATGTGTGTGTATTGTGAGTTCAGTTTTTGAATTGTGTTATTTTTCTAGATATAGACTTGTTTGAAATAATATACTAATGGTTAGTAGGACTAAAACCAATTTTTTAAAGTGTGTGGAAAATATTGGAATATATAGCATTCGGGAATAGTTTCAATTTTCTGAAGAGTTGTTTTATGGAAAATATTTCCATAGAAGATGGACTATTTTCTTGAAAATATTAAAATATCTTTTCATAAGAGATTTCTAAAAGGAATTCACAATACTTATTTTCTATTCTTGGGATGTTAAAATATAGTCAGTTCCTAAGAATATATTAAATAGGAGATTTGGAAAAAATTTACTAAATCTACTTGTGAAATACCTTATTTAGTTCATATACTTGAAATACTTTGTGGGCATTTTTTAAAATTGAAATCTCATCGACATATACCATTATATTAGTTTCAGGTGTACAACATATTATGAAAATAATCACCATAGTAAATCTAGTTCATATCTGTTGCTATGCATATTTACAAAAAATGTTTTCCTCTTATAATGAGTTTTAAGATCTACTCTTTCAACAACTTTCAAATATGCAATGGAGTAGTTTTAAATATAGTCACCATGCTGTCCATTGCCACTCATGACTTGTTTTATAACTGGATATTTGACCCTCTTTACCTGTTTTTCCCACCCCACTCCCCATCCCTTGCCTCTGGCACCCCCCACTCTGTTTTCTTCCCTCTGTATCAGTGAGTTGGTTTTTTTTTAAGATTTCCACAATATGTGAGATCATGTGATATTTGTCTTTCTCTATCTGACTTATTTCACTTTGAAGTAACTTACTAAATATAATTTGTTCGAGAGATACCAGTCTTCTGGTTGAAGGATAAGATGTATATCGTAGGAGGGGTACATGTCATGTAGGAGAGACCTTTAGATATTTTTAATAGCTCAGAAAAATGTGACAAGGTATATTTGTAAAGTTTTATTTTTAGGCACATGGAGCATACAACTTAAGATCTGTTTACATTCTTGAGACACCAGGAGCTTCATCTCTTTAATTACAAAATTGAGAGACAATTTCCAATGAACATTTGGAAATTAGTTCTACTGAATATTTAACACTTATGAAGAGCTTATTATGAGTAAATCCACATCATCTGAGTTATAGAAAGTACTAATATTTGGCATTAGTATTCTATTGCCTTTTTCCTTGTTTATAAAATATTATTTTTATTCCTTACACTGTAACCCTGAAGTGTGCTATTTTATAAGTTTCATATTTCAGGAATACTTGTTTTAGTTGTTCATCTTTTTCTTGCTTATTTTTGTCATAAAGAATGGGCTAACTATTGCTTTGGATATAGGATGTACTTAGATTTCATAGTTTGTAGATTAGCATGCTCTGCAAATGAAGAATGTTCTTTTTTGTTAGAAAGCTAAGCTTTAGCAAAATTTCAAAGCTAGAAACCCCTGTAAGGTGACATTACAGTAAATAGATCTTTATATAAAATAAATTATACCCTGAGTTATTACAGTTGTATAAATTTAAGATAACCTTTCTTTGGCAAATAAAGATCAACAAATTCATATACTTTAAAGAGATAGCCTGGGTCAAATGAGCATTTAGTTATCGGAAATGGCTAATGAAATGTTGCAATGATTTATGGTATGCTGTTCTGAATTTTCATAATATAGTAATTTATCTTTCATTTTCAACTGCCTGTCCAGTTCATTTACTGGGGAATAGTTACTTTAAATGTTTTATCAGCTGTTTCATTTTTCTGTTCCTCTCCTCTTCCTTGAAGGTTCATATCATAATGAGTTAGGGAGTAATACTTCATTTTAAATGACTCGTCTTTGCTATGGATAGTTTGGAAATATAGGCAGAGTAGCTGTAAAGTGAAGCATAGTCATTAATTTGAAATATCTATGTTGGATTGACTCCCGCTGTTATTATCAAGAACTGTAAAAAAGTTATAGCTTTTTTTGTTATAAAAATATCTTTCAGAGTAATATATGTAATATATGAGGATCACAAGGCATAGCAGCGTGTGCATGTTTATAATTAGAAACATTATTTACTAAGTTACTATCTCTGTTTCAGGAATTGGATGGTGGAAAATAACTATCTCAGTTCTAATGAACTTTGCTGAGGAAAATTTATTGACTACCTACTATGTGTTCACCACTCCATTAGGTTATATTAGACCTACTATCATAATGCAGATACACAAGATATTTTAATTTTATTTAAGAAATATTTGTTGAGTGTTAACTATGTAAAATTTTTAAAATTTATTTAAAAGTGTATTTATATACTTTACAAATTTCTGGATCTATGGCCACCTTTAGAAGCTCTCTATGACCATCTGCCCAATATATTGAGAATAAATACTGGATATATATCTCTTATTTCCATTTTGTTAAAGAATCAAATAGAGAGATGTAGTGCATAATTTTTTTTTTAAAAAAGGATGATGTAGAGTTTTGAAACCACTTAACATTATAATATAATCTTATTAGCTTAGTAACTTAGAAAATGTGTATTAAGGTAGAAGTGTTTCAGAGTGATGTTAGGAAGATGGTAGGTTGGGAGTTCTCAGTGCTTCTCTCCTCAAAGAAACCTTGATTTGAACAACCATCTATGTACAAAAATACCTTTACACAAGTAAGGCATCTAGGTGAGAGATCACAGCACCTGGGAAGAGCGGAGAAATAAGGAAGGACTCATTGAAGAGGGTAGACGAGGCAGTTTCATATTACCTGCCATCATCCTTTCCTCAAGGCTGTACAGGGCGGTGAAGCGTGAGAGAAACACTCTCGGCAAAAGGGAATAAGAGTGACCTGAGCATCTGACTTTGTCATGGACACCCCCTTTAGGCTAGCCTCGTGTCCCTTGGCACTTGGCGGGTCCTTGTGGACCCAGGCTCCAGGTTGGTATCCATGGACCCAGCCTTCAGGACGACCCGCTGTGGCGCTAGGCTCCAGCAGACCTAGAGTCCTGGTTCTCCCCAGTAGACCCCTGCGGCCCCGGGACCAGGCCCACTCCAGTGTACTCAGGCTTCAGGTTCTCTTCTATGGACCCGACCTACCTATGGTCCACGCCTACAACCCCAGGTGCCGGGCTCACTTTCGTGGACTGAGTTGCCAGGCCTTCCCCCATGGACTCAGGGCTAGGCGTGCCTCATTGACCTAGGTCCCAGGTTTACCTCACCGGAGCCCCTGCTGACTCAAGACCAGGGCCATACCTGTGGGCCCAGGTGTCTGGCTTACCTTAGTACCAGGCTGGTGCCCAAGGATTCAGGCTCAAGGCTCACTTTGTGGACCCAGTCACCAGGCCTACCCAATGGACCCTTGTGCCAGGTTGACCTCCACAGATTCAGGATTCAGGCTTACCCTCTGGACCCAAGCACAGGTATGCCCCTGTGGACCAAAGTTCTGGGCCTGGTCACTCACTGACCTGGGCAGCTGGCCAGCCCACCCAAGGACTCCAGCAGTAAGCCCACTCATGGAGCCCAGCACACAGCCTGCCAAGATCTCTGGATGGGCTGACAGCAAAGGGCTTCCCCTGCTGAAGCTAGTCTATAAAGACTAGAGGAGGGGATTATTTCTTCAAATGCGCAGGTGGGAGGGATCAAGAAAAGTCTGAGAAACATGACACTACCAAAAGAATAAAATAAGGCACCAGTAACCAAGCTTAAAGAAATGGAGATCTACAAACTGCCTGACAAAGAATTCAAAGTAATCATCTAAAAGAAGCCCAGTGAGCTGCAAGAGAGCACAGATAGACAACTAAATAATATTAGAAAACAATACATGAACAAAGTGAGTTCAACAAAGACATAGAAACCATAAAAAAGGACCAAACAGAAATTATGAAGCTGAAGAACATAATGACCAAACTACACAATTCCATAAAGAACCTCAACAGCAGACTTTATCAAGCAGAAGAATCAGTGATCTCAAACATGTCATTTGAAATTACCCAGCCAGAGATAAAAAAAAGAAAAAAAGAATGAAAGAGAGTTAGTAAAGCTTATGTGACATATGATAGACCATAAATGAACAATAGTTGCATTATGGGAGTTCCAAAAAGCACAGAAAAGAAAAAGAAGCAGAAAGTTATTTCAGGAAATATACTAAGTGAAATAAGGCAGTCAGAGAAAGACAAGTACCATATGATTTCACTCATATGTGAAATTCAATGAACAAACTGAACTAACAAGCAAAACAGAAACAGTCATAGATGGAGGACAGATGACAGCTAAGTGGGGGTAATTAGGGGGTGGAGGGACTGAGCAAAAAGGAAAAAAAGGACTCATGGACAACAGTGTGATGATTGAATGGGGGAGGAGGGTATAAGGGAACTAAATGGTAATTAAAAAAATAAAATAAAAATTTTTTTAAAAATTAACAAAAACCAGAAATAATGACAGAGAACTTTCCAAATACAGAGAGAGACATGAACATCCAGAATTCAGATGTGTCCAACCACAGCCCGCAGGCTGCATAGCCCAGGATGGCTATGAGTACGGCCCAACACAAAATTGTAAATTTACTTAAAACCTTTTTTTTGGCTCATCGGTTTTTGTTAGTGTTTGTGTATTTAATGTGTGGCCCAAGACAGCTCTTCTTCCAGTGTGGGTCAGAGATGCCACAAGATTGGACACCCCAGGTCCATGAATTCCAAAGAACCTTACATAGGTTAAACAAAAAGAGATCTTTGCCAAGACACATTATAAGAGCCCAGAAATAAGTCCGTGCATTTATGATCAATTGACATTCGACAAAGGTTTCAAGAACACACAATGGGGAAAGGACATCTCTTCAAAAAATGATGCTGTATATCCTCATATAGAAGGGTGAAAGTGGATCCTTATCTCATACCATGTGCACACACATACACATTGATTGAAGATTTAAATGTAACACCTGAAGCTGTAAAACTATAGAAAGAAAACATGGAAATAAGTTTTTGACATTGGCCAGGACAGTAATTTGTTTGGATATGACCCCCAAAACACACTCAACACAAGCAAAAATAGCCAAGTAGGATTGCATCAACCTAACAGCCCAGGAAGGATTGCATCAACCTAACAGCAAAGGAAACAATCTAGAGTGAAGAGAAAACCTGTGGAATGGGAGAAAATGTTTGTAAACCATATCTGATAAGAAGTTAATTTTGAAAATACACGAAGAACTCAACTCAATGGAAAAGAAAATAACTCAGTTAAGAAAAGGGCAAGTTACATGAATAAACATTTTTCCCAGGAAGATTTAAATGGTCAACAGGTATGTGATTAGTAGATGATAGAAAGCTCAACATTACTATTTATTAGGGAAAAGCAAATTAAAACCAATTGAGAAATCATCTCATACTTGTTAGAATGGCTGTTATCAAAAAGACAAGAAACAAGTTTTGACAAAGATGTGGCAAAAAAGCCACCCTGTTTGGTGCCAATGTAAATTGGTGTAGTCAATTTGGAAAACAGTATGGTGGTTCCTCAAAAAATTAAAAGTAGAACTATATGATCCAGCAATTCCACTTCTGGGTATGTATATTTAAAGGAAATTAAATCAGTATTTCAAAGAGATATATACCATCCCATGTTCATTGCAGCATTATTCATAGTAGTCAGGGTGACAACCTAAGAGTTCGTCAATGGATGAATGGATAAAGAAAATGTGAGACATATAATGGAATGTTATTCAGCCCTAAAAAGCAGGAAATCTTGACATTTGCAACCACATGGATGAACCTGGAGGACCTCATGCTATTTGAAATGAGCCAGACATAGAAATACAAATAGTGGATGAACTCAATCATATGTGGAATCTATAAAATGTTGAACTCATAAAAGCAGAGAGAATAGAATGGTGGTGGCCAGTGCCAGGGGGCTGGGGACTGGGGGAAAGTGGGGAAGTAGATCAAAGGGTACTAAGTTTCAGTCATGCAGCATAAATAAGTTTTGAAGATCTAATGTACAATATAGATATTATAGTTAATACTGTATTGTATATTAGAAATTTGTCAGGATACTATATTTTAAATGTTATCACCACATACAAAGAAAAGATCATTGTATGAGGTGCTGCGGTATGTTAGTTAGGTTGATTGTGGTAGCCATTTCACAGTGTATGCTTATGCCACAACATCACATTGTACACCTTAAATATGTGTAGTTTTTGTCAATTATTTCTCAAGAAAACTAGAAAAAAAAATTAAAAATACTATGTCAAAAAATGCTTCAGTATGAAGTAGAAACAAGAAAAGACAATCTTATAGAATTTTGTAAAGAGAATGACTTGACTTGGACCCATAATATATCATTGTTTTTTGATTGTCATGAGAAAAACATTTGAAAACTGATTTAATGATTAAAATAAGATACATAAATACAGATCCTATTTTGTTTCCAGGCTACTTTGGATGTAGCAGTGACAACACTAAGGGTATTTAGTTTTGTGACATTTGCCAACCTCTGTAGGTTAAATTTTAGGCATAAGAGTCAAAGATTTCATTCACGTTTTTGAAGATAGATGCCATTAATTTACCTAAAATTACCTGAAAGTCCTAATGTAGTAGTGGAAGTCCGAACCAGGAGACTATTACTCTTAGTCCTTTCATGAACCTGTTAGAAAGTTCTCACCCAGCCTCTCTGTGCTGTTTGTTAATGTTGTTTCTGTGTCCCCACGGTACATAAAATGGCAGCTTATGTGTAGACACCTACTCCATAACCAATTCGATCAGTGGTGGTGTTTGTAGTAGTCATAGTAGCAGCAGCAGGAATATGTTAAATTTTTTAATGCTCTCACTTCATAAGATAGGTGTGTACACCCCATTTTAATAGAAGTGGAAACTGAAGTTCTCAAGGGCTAAATAAGTAACCCCAGTCATGCAGCTCAACGCAAAGCATAGTTAAAAAGTGTTGTATTCCACATTGTTCTCCAAAATGAGCTGTAATTGTGGATTCTCCTTGGTGTAGAAGTCATTAGAAAGGCAGGTCTGTATATTTTCAAATGTCATTTTTAATGATAATGTACTATTTGCTAAGGAATATGACACAGTATTTTTATATCTAACTTTTTAAAAAAATGCCCTTCTTGCTATTGTTTACAGAAAGTATCACCTTGGGTAGGCTTGCGCAAGATCAATATATCCTACTGGGGATGGGAAGACATGACTTCATTTACAAACACCACACTGCAGTGGCTTCCTGGTGAACCCAATGACTCTGGGTTCTGTGCGTACCTAGAAAGGGCTGCAGTGGCAGGCTTAAAAGCTAATCCTTGTACCTCTATGGCAGACGGTCTTGTCTGTGAAAAACCTGTTGGTAAGTAGTTTGGTAGACTAGTATTTCTCTGAAACATGGTTCTAACCCCTCTTTCCACCAGCCCTTCCGGGATGTGATGGTTTGTGGGTCTGTAGTCTCTTTTGCCATCTTTTTACGATGCTGATCATCATGTAGATTTCTACATTCCTCCACATTCCCTACTAACTGTTACTGACCCTTGCATGGACTTGTGAAAATAATATATTTCACTGTTTATGTACAGTCTTTAGTTTCTTTGTTGAAATAGTGAGATTATGAACATATGGCTATAATTATTATAGTATACTAAGAATCTATTCTTAATTTGTTAATGTATTTTACTTTTATGATAACAGTCTTTGGGAGAAAGATTTGTCTTTAAGATTAACAACTAAATTAGAACCAGTTTAATCTTGCATATTTATTACTTCATTTGGAAAGTAAAAAGAAACATTTTTGTTACATCTATTGAAGTGGATTTTTGTTAAGTGAAGTGAGAAAATAATATTGAATTCTTTTCTCTTTTTTCAACCAATGTTGTGCTTTTTGTTGCAGTAATATACATAACATAAAATGTACAATTTTAACCCATTTTTTCAGTTTTATTGAGATGAAATTAACTTTTTCAGCCATATTTTCAATGTAGAGTTCAATGTCATAAAGTACATACCCTTCTTGTGCATCTATCAACACTATTTATCTCCAGAACTTTTTATCTTCCCAAATTGAAACTCCATACTCATTAAACAAAAGTCCCTGTACCCTTGTCTTCTGCCCCTGACAGCCACCTTTTATTTTCTGTGTCTATGAGTTCGAGTCCTCTAGGAAGCTCATGTGGAGTCATGAAGTGTATGTCCTTTTGTGACTGCTTATTTCCCCTAGCATGATGTCCTCAAAGTTCATCCATGTTGTAGCATATAGCAAAGTCCATCCATGTTGAAATTTTATTTCCTTTTAACCCTGGATAATTATCCATTGTATGTATATACCACATTTTGTTTATTCATTCAATCATTGATGGACACTTGAGTTATTTCTACCTATTGGCTATCGTGAATGATGATGCTGTGAACATAGATGTAAAAATATCTGTCCCCGTTTCTGCTTTCGTGTCTTTAGCCAGAAGTGGAATTGCTATATCATATGATACATCTATGTTTAACATTTGAGGAATTGTCATACTGTTTGCCATAGATGCTGTACCATCTGACATTCCCAGCAGGAGTGTACAAGGGTTTCAAATCCTTCACATTCTTGTCAACAATTTTAAAAACAGTGGCCATTTTAATGAGCGTGATAAATACTATATTCTATGTAAAGATTTTATAGTAAATTGTTTTACCTTTATTATTTATGTATGTAAGCAACAGACAAAATATTCACTGACAGAATGTTTGCTTTGATAATGTGTGGAATATTTACGTAATTGTGGCAAGGAAAGTACATAATGATAGTGTACATAGTATCTAGCCATTAGGTAGAAAAACTAGGTCATGTGTTACATGTATATTTATAGTTTTAAATTATACACCTTTATGTATTTTGTAAAGGATTAAACATTTACAGAAATTATAAATTTTAAATTTGATAATAAATTTAAGAAGTATTGATGTGCCATTTTTATTTTTGTTTTTTTAAATATTGAATGTAATGGGGTGACATCGATTAAAAAAATTATATAGGTTTTAAGTGGACAGTTCTGTAATATATTGTATTGCATTTCATCTTCATTTTTAATCTCATCATGTCATTTTTGCTTTAATTTTTATCCCACGCTTGGCTTAATTGAAATATCCCCTAAACAGCAAAACACACAAAATCCATGCACTTGTGTTAAAATGCACTTACAAATAAAATACTTCTATCTGTGGATTATTTCAGTCAGTCCAAATCAAAATGCAAGGTCATGCAAAACGCCGTGCTCCCTAAGGATGTCCTGTTCCAACTGCACCAGCAATGGCATGGAGTGCATGTGGTGCAGCAGCACCAAGCGCTGTGTGGACTCCAACGCTTACATCATCTCCTTTCCCTACGGACAGTGCCTGGAGTGGCAGACCGCCACCTGCTCTCGTAAGTATTTACCGAGAGTGACTCAGGTACCTGCAACATCCATCCCTTTCCGTGATGGACAGAGGAATTAGACATTTGAAGACGTTTTAAAAAATGAGAATAAATATTGTTAGTTTGTTTTAACGCCTGTTAATGTTACAAGCTCCTGATTTACATTATGCCATCATTTTGAATTCCACTAGGTCTTATCTTACTCTGCAATTTACATCCTGCCCTAACTCTGAGTGTGTGTTGCAGACACACACATTTCACCACGGGGCTCACTTCCAGAAGTGCAGATCGCTTCGCTGTCTGTCTTTGGTGTCCTTTAATCTAGCCCACTTCCCATGTGTTCCCTTTCGGGCATGCCTATGATTCTTTTTTTCTTTTTTTTTTTCAGAACCTATGCCACTTGTTTTGTAGGTTTCACAGTTTGGATTTGTCTCATTGTTTCCTCATGATGAGATTCAAATTAAGCCTTTTAAAATCATGAGATGCAAGTTAAACATTTTGGGGCAAGAACGTCCTATCAGGGGCGGCGTGTCTGCTGCAAAGGCAGGGTGCAGTCTGGGCATCGCATGGTGAACCATGTCAGCAGGGAGGCCCTGGACTTGCGGTGTGGGTTGTGCTTCAGGAGAAGACCCTGCCCCCTTGTCGGTGTCATGTATTAAAAGGACTGTAGGATGAGGGTGCACCTGACTGCGTCTGTGGTCCTGGGTACCACATGGTTGTGAGAGTGGCTTTTCTCGCAAAGACAAATTGCATCAGGATGTCACTGCCAAGGGTGTCATTGCTTAATACCACTGATGGCACTTGGTGGTCTTGTAGAAGTTGGAGACTACGTGCAGCTACCTCTGCTTGGGAGAAGTTAGAAGCTCCTTGTCTCAGTAGATCCTTGCTTGGGGTGGCGTCCCTCCTGGAAGTAGCCACATGCAAGTTCCCTGGTAGTGTGGGCCAGAACACGGTTTGTTCCTGTCACTTTCTTAAGCACCCCCTGGACTTGCTTATGTGCCCATTGGCCTCCTTGCATTCCTTCCATAGGAGCGGCCACTGACAGCGCAATTGTGGTGAAGTGTGACTGTCCCAGCGGCAGTGTACGTGGTCTCCTCGTTTATTGTTCCTCTCATTCTGCTCCTGAGCTCTCTTTGTTTTTCTCACAGAAGAGCCACTTGCGCGCAGAGCAGCTCCATCATTCTGAGATCCCTTTTGGTGGTGAATCAACTGTTGGGAGGCTCATCCTGGGGTCCACTGTCTCTCAGACAACATGGCCACCCAGTTATCTGCCTTTTTTGTTGGTGGAGCGGCCTCATTCAGAGGTGGCCATCTGCTTAAGACAATGCAGGTGGAGACTCACTGATTTTTCCATTCCTCCCTTCATTCCCGGGGAGAATGCCTTTTACCCCAGGGATCCAGCCAAATCCGTATTGGCTTCTTATTGACCACCACTATGGCACAAAGACTGAGGCAAAGCAGTGCCACCGCGCAGGCTAGAGCTTACAGGCTGTGGTTGTCGGGTGCACTTTGTTCTCCTAGGCTCTTGGCATCCACTGAGAGATGTTCCTGGGATGGGCATGGCTGGATATGCCATAGGTTGGCCTCCCTGTTTCTATTCCTTCCAAGGAACCTTGATAAGGAATGGTTATGTGTCTGAACATGTGTGTGGCAGTGGGGTAGTTGCAGGCATAAAATGGTCTTGCTAGTACAGACAGCTAGGGGCCAGCTGCCGAGGAGGGTTGGAAGTAGGGAGGCTTGTGCTCAGCCTCTTTTGCCTCGATAGTTGTGTTTGTCTTTCTAAAAACATCAGTGTTCAGTGAAAGAAGCCAGACGCAAAATATTGCATACTATATGACTCCACCTTTGTGAAAGTCAAAAGAACTCAAAGCTGCATTATATTATTTAGGAATGAATGTTTAGGTATAACTGTAGAGTAAGTCAAAATGTTATAAATGTCAGTGGATACTGTTGGGAAAAAACTGGGGGGGGTGCAGATTAGGAAAAGTGTACAAAGGAGGTAATATTGCACTTCTAGGCTGGGTGCAGATACAAAATATTTATTTACAGTAATTTACTATTGTATTATATTATAATTTATACATTATATTGTATTATAACTTATGTACTTCCAATTGTGTGTGATATATATGCGTTATATGTTACAATAAAAAAGGCTGAATGGTAGGGAAAGGGAGCTTGAAAAGTACCCAAGCTCTTGTACTCTTAAGGAGTTTCTAAAAATTATGTAGAGTTAAGTCCATATTGTCCTCTCTGCTCACAAATCTGTCTCATATTTCATGTCTTCTTTCGTACTTGTTCATCTTTTGGAGAATAGTGTTCAGTAATTCTTTCTAACCATATTTGTGGCTAGGAAACTTTTTGAGTGTTGACATGTCTAAAAGTGTATTTTTTATATTCACTTGAATGGTAAAATGGCTGGAATGTGGAGTTCTAAATAATTCTTCCCGTAGAACTTCTAGCATTTGCTGTGGAGAAGACTCTTATGCTAATTTAATTTTCATTTCTTTGGGGAACATTTTCTTTGAGAGCTTTTAAGAATTTTTTCTTTATGGTAGACATTCACAATTTTGTAATGTCTTTAAATTCAGTTTTCCACTAGGCAATGGGGATTTTGAAAATTGATTTTCATTGGTTTTCAATCTGAAGAGTTTCTTCACTTGTTAAAAATATTCTTTAATGTTTTAATTATTTTTTGTTCTATTTAATATATCCAAAAAGAATAAACAGTAAAAAAGGAAAAATAGTTGTTAGAATTTCTAGATATCTCAGTATTTCTTAAATTCACTCATACTTTCTATCTCTTTGCTAAGATTTTGTTCCACAGCTTTTAAAATTATATGCCCTGTGCATCCCTGTGGGGAAGTGGGGCATTATACATTGTCTCCTCTGAGGTTTTCTAGTAAATGGAGCTTGAAGGAAACGTTTCCTTGCAAATGAGAAACAAATATGGATTTTGCAATATCCTTCAGTATTCTCCAGTTATTATATTGTGATAGTAATGCTTAAAATTCACAAATTGAAGAAGAGGAATATATTTCAAGGCAAATTTTGCCTGATGGTTTCTAAGAAAGCTTTGCTAATAACTGGAATTATTAATAATTAATATATTTTAAGTAGTTGGATATGCTATTTGTGAAGATGAAATCCAAGGGGATTATTTGAAGCAATAATAGAAGATTTAGTTCTTAATACATAAAAATTCAAATAAAAGTGCCATTAAATTGATATGGTGAGCACGGAACACTAAGAAACATGAGACGATAGCATACATCTCAAAAATATATATATTTCTTTCAGTATTTTAGAGGTGTATGTACATGCTCAATTTAACCTGTTTTTTTTCCTTTTTCATGGAAGTTAGGGAAGGTAGTCTTTTGGTTAAATAATTAAGCTTTATTTTTAGAGCACTTTTGGAGTGACAGCAACATGGAGAGGAAGGGACAGAGACCTCTGACACGTTCTCTGCGCGCACCCTGCACAGCTTCGCCCGCTGTCAACACCCCGTGCCGGGGCGGTGCGTTCGTTACGTTGGTTTACCTTCATCGATACATCGTTATTGCCCAAAGGCTGGAGTTTACACGGAGGTTAACTCTAGATGCAGTACGTGCTGTCGGGTGTGACAAAGCATAATGGCATGTGTCCGTCATTACAGGATCACACACCCTGGTTTCAGTGCCCTGAGAATCCTCGGTGCTCTGCCTCTTCATCCCTCGCTTTCTCCTAATTCTTGGCGATCACCATTTTTTTTTTTTTTTTTTTTACTGTCTCCATAGTTTTGCCTTTTCCAGAATGTAATACAGTTGGAAGCATACAGAACGTAGCCTTTTCAGATTGGCCTCTTTCACTTAGTGATATGTATTTACATTTTTAAATGTCTTTTCATGGCATGATGGCTTATTTATTTTTAGAGCCGAATAATGTTGCATTGTCTGGATGTACCATAGTTCATTGATCCGTTCACCTACTGAAGAACATCTTGGTTGTTTCCCAGTTTGGACGATTGTGCAAAAAGCTGCCGTCAACATCCATGGCAGGATTTTGTGTGGACGTGAATTTGCAGCTTATATGGGTAATATGAAGGAGTGTGATTGCTGGATAGTATGGTAAAGTATGTTGAGTTTTGTAGAAATCACCAAACTGCTTTTCAAAGTTGTTGTGTGTTGCATTCCCACCAGCAATGATTGAGAGATCCTGTTCTTTCAAGTTCCACATACTCTCCAGCGTTTGGTGTTGTCAGTTTTCTAGATATTGGCCAGTTTCCTAGGTGTCTAGTGGTATCGTGGTTGTTTTACTTTGCAGTTCCCTAATGACATAAGTCGTGGAGCTCCTCTTCATCCCTGCCATCTGTATATCTTTTTTGGTGAAGAGCCTTTAGCTCATTTTTTTAAATGGGTGGTGTGTTTTTTCTTATATTGAGTTTTAAGAGTTGTGTATTTTGAATAACAGCCCTTTGTCAGATGTGTGTTTTTCAAATATTTTCTTTCAGTTTATGCCTTGCCTTTTCTTTTCTTTAACAGTGCCTTTTGTAGAGAAGAATAAATTTAAATCTAACAAAGTTCCATTTATCAAGTCTTTCTTTCATGGGCTGTGCCTTTGGTGTCATAATGAAAGAGCATCAGCAAACCCGAGGTCATCTAGATTTTCCCACACGTAGCTCTGCTTACACATCCCGTCTGCTCTCGCATATCGTTGACTTTCTCCAGTAGAGCCCATAGACTATGAACCACAGTTGCTTTAAATTTCTGGTCTGGTGATTCCAGCATCCCGGACATGTCTGGTCTGATGCTTATTCAGTCTCTTGACGTGGTGTTTTTTTGCCTTTCGGTATGCCTTCTAATTGTTGTTCTCGATAGCCAGATATGATATATAGGTAAAAGAAACTGCTGTAAATTGGCCTTTAGCCACATAGTGGGAAGGTGTGAGGGAGGGGAAGTGTTTAATAGTCCTGTGATTAGGTCTCAGTCTTTTGGTGGGCCTGTGCCCCACACGGTGCATTGCACTAGTGCCTCCTACCTTTCCCCCCTCTCTTAGGTGGTGCAGAGAGGCTGGGGGGAGCTGGAGTCTGTGTATTTCTCTTTTCCCGCCCATTGGGTCAGGTAGGCTCTGAGGAAACCCCAGCTGTTCAGGCTCCATTAAATGGTTTCTGCAGGGTTTGTTCAGAAGTACAGAATGCTCTGGCATATTTTAAAATTATTCCTCTTCCTCTCCCCTGTGCTTGGTGCACAGGGGGCTTTTTCTTTGATATTTCCCGTGCGGACCTGGCACAGCTCCTGGAAATAAAGCTCACAAAGGTATGGGTTCCTCCTGTCACTGGGTCCCCTGGAGGTTTGCCCTGTCACACTCAGCCCCCAGCACTTCGTCAGTTACAGCTCGGTTGGCTTACCCGGGCCCCAGCTCCTGCAGCAGTGGCCTTGGTAAATTGAGATGTTCGCTGTCTGCCTGTCTGTCTCTCCAAACTGGGGGGTAGAGGCTTGCCCTGAGACCTCACTTCTCTGAAGGCTCTGAGAAGAATTGGTGATTTTTCAGTTTGTGCTGCCTTTTTACTTTTTGTTAAGATGGAGTGGAGGCATCTAAGCTTCTTACCTGCTGGACTGGAAACCGGAAATCTTCAGGCATCATTTGATGACCTAATTTCTTGGCAGATTGATTTTTCAAATTTTTATATACTTCAAACACCATTGTAAACATTTTACAGCTTAATCTTTCAAAGGCCAAATATAAATAAAATAAAGCAAAAACGATTACTCTAGTTACTTGTAGCTCATACGTAGCTTCTGTACTATCCATAACTTAGGAGGCTTTCCTGTCATTATTGTTTTCTGTGGGAAGAAGAAAAATCATTATAGTCTGTCCATTTCTGAGTCAGCGTTAAATGCTAAAGAGTGAGTTTTCTATAGGGTTAACATTAGTCACTTGTGTTTAATGACTCAAAGAATATTCTTCATTTTTTTAATTTATTATTAAAGAAATATAGGAGATGGTACTCATTTTCCACCTTCTTACATCCAATTTCTGAAATACAAAAAATTCATAACAACCAATCATATTGTAATCGATTAATTCTTTAACCAAACATTCTGTTATCCCCACACAGTTCTCTAAATTGTATTCCTGATGTTCACTGAGACGCTCATGGTGTTGTTTGCAGCAATCTGAGGAACAGTTTTGTTTCCAATAATATTAAAACACCGAGTGGCAGTTAAGTTATTGGTATCACAACAATGAAATTGAGTCTGCCAGAAATCTACCATTTTTCCCCCTTTGGGAAAAAGTGTGACTAGAAGATACTGCTCATGGTGCCTTGTCCCTGTGTCACCAACTTCTGTGGTTATACAATTTACAAGGCAAAGTGTGCCTGTTCTTGCAAAATATCAGTAAAAGTAGTGAAGTCTCAGCCCAATGCAGGATACATAGGAACTGTTATAAAATATGATGGCAGACTATATAGTCGGTGCATCCTTGGAAAAGACATCCCGGTAGTGACAGGCTTTGTTGAGGGACATAGGTTATACGCCAATTAAACAAAAATGTTGAGCTTCAGCGAGTGAGTCTCAGAGTGATGCCCTGTGGCTCTGAAGGTCAGAGTCAGCCTGTGCTGCTGGCTGCCTGAGTGTGGCACAGTGTCCGGGTTCCACGCTCCCACCAGGCTCTCTGGGTGAGATTGAGTTTATTCATCCCAGGATAGCCAAATACGGGGATCGTGGACCCCTGGAAAGAGCATCGTCCCCGTGAGGCAGTCCCCGTGGGGCTCAGCTACCCCGGGGAGGGGCGGGTATCATGTACACTGGGCAGAAGCAGATTTTCCTTGAAGGCCCTCACCAGGCGCAATGGGAACCGCACAGTGGGAACCGCTGATATGGTTCTGCATCCCAGCCCACAGGGCATGTGGGCTGCAGGCCTCTGGGCGAGCTCCCCGAAGGCCCTCACGCTGGCAAAGCTCGGGAATCTTTAAGTTTCGACTCCATTTTTCTCCCTGGCGTAGTCACCGCACGTTTTTAACCCTCAAGTCAGTCCATTGAGCTCCTCTTTGTTTATGATGAATGTTTACTTTGCTTTAAGTAGCTGCTCTTGAGGCATTGTTACAAAACTGTTTAAACTGAGGATGACCTTTTACAGTCTTTTTTAGGCCACATTTATTTTTCCATTAGCGTACAGCTCTAGGTGAATATAAGGCCGTATAACATGCTTGTCCGTGTTCCCGCCATGCAGCTCAGAATTGCTCTGGATTGAGAACCTGCGGACAGTGTCTGGAGCAGCCTGGGTGTGGCTGGTGCAATGACCCCAGCAACACGGGGAGAGGACACTGCATCGAAGGGTCTTCGCGAGGACCCGTGAAGCTTGTTGGAACGCACAGCAGTGAGATGGTTCTCGACGCCAGCCTTTGTCCCAAAGAAAAGAACTACGAGTGGTCCTTTATCCAGTGTCCAGGTAATACAAATGTGAGGAAAACAGTTTCAGGTTTTCAGACAATTCTGTTTTTCGGTCAAAGTATTTTTCAAACAATTTCAAAGCCAAAAATATTTTCCTTTCTCGTCATAAGGGTTTATGAAAAAATAACAATGAAAATGAGACTCAAAATTCAGAGATACAAAAATATTCTTCCCTCTACCCATCTCTGTGATATATAGATGGCATTCTGTTTGGAATCATTAAATAGGCTGACCAGGTGCATTGTATGTATTTATTAGATTTGGTTTCAGGTTGGTTGTTAAGATGAAATATTGGCTTATGCCTATTTTCTATCCTAGTATTATAGTGCCTTAAAATTCAAAGGTAGCTGAGGATCCAGTCAAACTTCATGCTAAGTTTGGGAATTCTCTCTAAAATACCTATGATGAAGTCAGCTGGCTTCATTTTGAAAAGTTGCCGTTGGTATTCACTACCATTCAATTCTGAAAGTCAGTGATTCCTAGTTTTCAGATCCCCCCACCCCCTGCCATAGGAAATCTTTTCTAACATTAAATAAATCAACCTTCTTGAAAAATTAATTTATTCAATATACTTTTGAGGGCCACTGTGTGGAGTGTTTTAGATGTTAGACATATAACAATTAACAAATGAGACTAAAATTGTTGCCTCCATGGTAACTGTATTCTTTTTGAAATTAATTACACATATATGTACATATGAAGTTAGATGGTGATAAGTGCTATTAAATAAATAAGGCAAGGAAGGGGGAATGAGGCTTGCCATTTAAATAGGGGGGTAAGAGCAGCTCTTATTGAGGGGTGACAAGTAATAAACATCTTAAGTAGATGAACGAGTGAGTCCTGGGGACATCTGGGGAAAGAGGAAAGAGTGTCCTAGAACAAGTGGCGGCCCAATACATGACTGTGCAAGATCGTTTATTTGTGAGGGGAACCTAGGAAGAACCACTGAGGTAATAGAGAATTTCAAAGAACAGAGAAAAACCAATAGTATGTACCTTATGAGGGTGGCTCCTACACTGGGAAATTTAGCTTCAGACTCACTAAGGACTTAGGAAGAACCATGAGGAAGGTTCCTCAGAGTTAACTCACTGAGGCACTGGGAGATTGGGGCATTTATCTGCTAACTCTCATCCCTCATTGGCTGACTGGTGCCTCTGAGATAAATACTTCTGAGCTGTGCCAGCATGTCTGATTAATAACTTTCCCTGGAACTCTTGAAGATTCTGCAGCAGAAAAGCAAAAGATGATGTGAGAACTCTCTTTAGGTGTGATATTGACAGTTTGTTGCATTGAAACCAGATGGACCAAGGGAATGTGGCACAGGGTAGAACCATACTTGCCGCATAAACTGAAATATACATGAAAACAAAAAATAACGAACTGTTGATTCACACAACATACCTGAATCTTAAATGGATTCTGCTTAGTGAAAGAAGCTAGACCCAAAGGCTACGTGTTGTATTATTTCACTTATAAAACAGTCTGGAACAGGCAAAACTGTGGGGACAGAAAACAGACCAGTTATTTGCCAGAAGTAGTAAAGGTAGCGATCGACTGAAGGGGTCCCCACAGTGGAATTTTGGGGGGTTATGAAATTGTTCCTTCTGAGGTTGTGGTAGTTGATATATGACTCTGCATTTGTCAAAACCCGTATCGTGTATCTCAGAAAATGAACTTTCCTGAATGCAAATAAGAAAAAAACTTTCAAAGTCCATCAGGATGTCAGGGATCCCAGGATGGAAGGCTGGAATGCAAGCTGTGACAAGTAAATTTAATTGTATTACAAATGCCATAACCTCATCAAAAAAAAAAATACAAGAGCTGACCTAAGTAACCTTTGAAACTAGTGTTTTGACTGGATACTGTAATGCTAAAAGAAAAAAAAACACCTATACCTAAATATTGTGTTCTGGTTAATAAATTTGTTTCTTACATGGTAGAGGTTAACAATTCTAATAATCCTTTATGTGTTTACTAGGTTTGGACAAATAAGTGAATAAAGTGTGTTTAATGTAAGCCAGGTTTCCTACTGTCAGAGAAAAGGATAAAAATAAGCCAAGAGTGAAGAATACAAAGAACCTTTTGTTGGATTAGGATCTGAGATCACAGCATGGGATCATGTTTGTACGAATGCACAAGTATATATAGGTGTGTGTGTATACTTAGTTTAGTGCATACACATACATTTCCTAGTTCTGTTTGCAAGAGAGGGCAGCATAGAAACCGTGGCACTCCAATAGGAACGAGTATATTCAGCTCCACACTTTGGTTTCTACATACTGATTTCTAATGAAATGGCCAGTTCTAGGGCTGGGGCTGGAGCAGGAAGAATACAGATGAGGCTGGAGCGTTGTTTAGTGCCAGGAAGTGCTATTAAAAAAAGGGATGGGATCACATCAAACGCACACCGAGCAAACCTAAAAGAGTTCTCAATAGATCTAATATGGACAAATAATGAATAATAATGATTATATGGGATTATAACCCAAAGCATAACATACATATATCGATGATTCTATACTGATTGCAATGATTGAGTAATTAATAAGTGGATGAGAATGGACAAATATTCCTTACAGATAAATTTTAAATAATAAATGTAGGAGGAATGAGAGAAGTAAATAATCACTGTTAGAATCCCACAGTAATAATTGCTGTACAAATAATCCACTTAAGCACGTTGACATTAGTGGGTGAAGCTGGAAGGTCAAACTGGATATTTGTGTAGCTTCAAAGTATCTCCTTCAAAAAATTGTGTTACTTATTGTGGAGGTTTTAACATATATATACAATTTTTTTGACATTCATAAAATAACACAGAGATCCTTAGCCAATAAGCCAAGAAATTAGCTAAGATGAAATACTTAATCCAAAAGAAGGCAGAATAAGAGAAAAAGATGGGACAAATAGTTATCTAATGGTAAAATGATAGTTTTAAGCTCAATCATTTCAATAATTATGCTAAATGTAAATGATCTAATTACTCTGATAACAAGGCTGACATTTTCATATTAGCTAAAAAAAGCAAGACCCAACTATAGGCCGCCTATAAGAAACCCATTTAAAATAAAATGACACATATATTTCAAAAGTAAAAGAATGAGACCTGGAGAGCACTACGCTAAGTGAAATAAGCCAGGCAGTGAAAGGCAAGTACCATACGATCTCACCTATAAGTGGAATCTAGTCCACAAAACAAACAAATGAGCAAAATAGAACCAGAGACTTGGAAATAAAGAACAAACAGACAGTGATCAGGATAGTGACCAGAAGGGACAGGGCAGGGGGGTAATGAGAGAAAGAAAGGGGAGGGGCAAGCCAAGAAACACAAGCAGAGGACTCTTGGGCACTGACAGTGTGGGGGTGGGGACTGACTGTGGAAGTGGGGGGGGTGGGGGGGGACAGTAATGGGAAAAAAGGTGGGACAGCTGTAACTAGACAACAACGAATAAAAAGAAAAAAAAAGGACAACAGATATACTATGATAACACAAATTTAAGAGAAAGATGAATTGGCTGTGCTAATATCAGACAGGTAGTTTTCAGAGCAAAACTTATTACCTGAAATAAGGAGTGTCACTTTATAAAGATAAATAAGAAATTCATCAAAAGGACATAACATTTCTAAACATTTTCACCTATTTTTTCATCGTCACCTGAGGGCATGCTAACTGATGTTAGAGAGAGGGGAAGGGAGGGACAGAGACACATTGATGTGACAGAAAATCAATTGGTTGCCTCTCATACATGTCCCAGTCTGGGACCAAACCTGCTACCTAGGCATGTGCCCTGACTGGGAATTGAACCTGTTACCTTTCGGTTTACGGGGTGATGCTCCAACCAACTGAGCCACACTGGCCAAGGCTAAACATTTTCACCTATTTACAGGCTTTCAAAACAGACAACATTTTAGTGGTGTATGATCAAGAATCCACCTCTGATCTCCAGAGACATAGGTAACCACTTTCTCCATTGATGTGTAGGGGGTACTATACCTGTTTGTTTTTCTCTTACCACTTTTTTTTTTTTTGAGAGTGTGTTAGTTTCCTATTGCAGCATAAAACAGTACCCCAAACCTAGAGGCTTAAATGTACCCATTTGTGGCTCACAGTTCTGTATGTCCCACGCGGGGGCATGCCAGGCTGGCCTCTGTGCTCCGGGTCCCAGAGGCTGAAGTCAAGGCTGTCGGTCAGATCCGGCTGAGTTTAATTCGGAAGCTCTGGAGAAGAGGCTGCTTCCAAGCTCATTCATACTGTGGGTGGAACTCAGTTGCTTTGAGCTGCAGGGCCGAGGAGCCTGTTTTCCAGTTGGCTGCCGGGCAGAGACCGCTTCAGTTTCTAAAGAATGTTCACATGCCCTCCCCCACATACCCCTTCATTTTCAACTGGCAATGTAGAGTCTCAACAACTCAAATAGGATCTCTCACCTTTTAATCTCTTTCTTCAAGTAGATCCTGGTGCCTCGTAAGGATCATCTGATTTGGATCCATGCAGGATGATCTCCCTTTTTAAACTCAGCTGTGCCATGCAACATATCTAATCATCAGAGTGAATATCCCATCATATGTACTGGTCCCTGTCCCACTCGAGAGGTGACTGTTAGCATTCGATTAAGTAGCTAAGTGCTATAACGCAGCTTCATGGACACACAAGACTATCACATCATACGGTTTGGTCATTTAAATGTCTCACAGCTCTGGACGGGTAGCTCAGTTGGTTAGACCATTGTCCCCATATTCCAAGGTTGTGGGTTTGATCCCCAGTCAGAGCACATACAAGAGGCAAATGAGTGCATAAATAAGTGGAACAAATCGATGTTGCGCGCGCACTCTCTCTCTCTCTAAAATATCAATAAATTAAAAAATTTAAAGCGTATAATTCAGTGGTTTTTAGTATATTCACAGAATTATGCAACCATCATTACAATCAATTTAAAAACATTTTTATCATCCCCGAAAGAAACCTGATACTTGTGAGCAGTCACTCACCGAATGTTAAAC